TGTATTTTATAAGATAATTAATTATAGCAGACTTAGGATCATGTGAGACCCAGAGTTTTTCGTGAGATCCGTAAGACCAATTCTCAACTCTTGGATTAGATCTACAATATGACAATCTGAACATTCATAAACGTCACGAGACTTCTCAATAATCACAAAATTGGCACCGTGCAACTTTAGAGCATTAGATCATTAACTTATAAAGTTGATCAATGAACATAAATTGGTCTTACGGGTCTCACGAAAAACCCTTTGTCTCACATGAACCCAACCCAATTATAGCATTTACAATGTGTATGTTATATTTTCTTTTTACAGATTTAGAGATTTATCTGTTCTCTCTCATTATTATTCTGTTTTAAAGGAGAGTTTGACATAGCTATTGAAGCAGTTTTTTTCCAAATCTTCAAGATTTTTAAAATAACATAAGGAATTAATTGTGTTCTAGATTTGGTTGCAACAACTTGTTTTTGTTGATATGTTCATATAATTTGAAATTAAAGTGAAAAAGCAATTAGTATAATGAAGGTGGCCTCTAAATTCAGCTTTGCATATATATATATATATATACATGCATGTCACTTGGAAAGCAAAGGCTATATATATAACATGCACGTTCATATCTGTGTCCCTTTATTCGATATGACAAATTCCAGCTTTTTATCTTTCCACCATGGAATTTGAGGTTTAGAGATTTTGACCCGAATTCAACCCGAACTTAATTACTTTAAATGTTGGTATTTAGCTCGACGATCGTTTAGGTCGATAGATTGATCAAGTTCGAGTTTTACCTTCACTAGTGAAATTACGCTTGATTTTGACATTGCTTCGTATAAGTTGTGATTCGATTTATACTTGAAAACTTGTATAAAAGTAAAAGGTAACATCGAGAAACAATCAAAGTAAAAGGTAACATCGAGAAACAATCTATAACGGCAAAAGTCTTTGGGTATGCCCTCTAGACCATATACATATACATACATACATATACATATATATATATATATATATATATATATATATACATAGGGAAAGGTTCAAACGAGAACACTTTCATTTTATGAGAATGCGTAAACACCTTTTTACTATTGACAATCACATGTGATACTATTATTTCATCACATATGATACACATGTGATACTAAATCAGATACGCAGGCGATTTTCGTTGCAATCTTAGTTGCGGGCCAAATCTCCCTTACATCACTAAGCCATCTCACAAGTATTATCACATGTGATAAGGTTCTTGTTGATATGATATTATAATCTATCAAGACCATCACATTTGATGCTAAATGATAGGCACAGACAACCTTTGGCACAACCTAAGTCATATAACACGTCGTCCGCACATCACAGGGTCCCCTCACGCGTATTATTCTCGCGTTCTCGTAAAATGGAGGTGTTCTCGTTTGAACATCCACCTATATACATATATATATATATATATATATATATATATATGTTGTGGAGGTTCATATGAAAAGGCTAAATATAGTAAGAAGGTGCGAAAAGAAGATTCATATGTGAATCATTAGAAAATTTTATATAAACTCACATTATAATTTATTCATATGGATTCATTTGTGCATTTTCAAACGATATTTTCCAATAATTCAGTACATATAAACATTCCCTATATATGAATGTATGCAAGTTATATATATGACCTCCATGACTAGATCTAGTTATCTATATTTTTTTTTAAACAAATTCGGTTAAAAAGTTTTAAAAACAACCTTTTAAGTATTCGATGTTGTTTATTAATAAATAATTTATTAAATTTCAAGTTTATAAGTAAATAACTCTATGTATAATATAAGCTTTACGTGTGTTTAAACTAAATAAGACTAATCAATAACCAACTTAATTACGTTTTGATCCCTCCTAATACGACATAATACTCTAGGAATTTTATATTTTCGTATCTAATAAATTTCTCAGTCTCAGAAAATGAATATCCAATTCAAATTGAGTTTTTGTAGCTGAGAGTACTGCATTCGCAATACTTCATTCTCAGGGCCGGCCCTGGCCACGTGCAGCCCGTGCGGCCAAATAGGGCATCAAAGTCTAAAGGGGCATCAAGTTGTCATCTGTTACTAGTTTTAGGTCTAATAATTTGGGAATTGGACAATTGAGCTTTAACTATAAAAACGGGCCCAAGGCCTAGTAGTGATGAATATCGAATGCAAATCGTGAACCAGTTAAAGCCATCATTCCAACAACTCAATCTAATTTCTACTGTTCTCCAACGTTCGACTATTTCGATTTTCAAGGCATGGAGTTCTCTTTCCAGCCAATTAACCGTCATGAAGTCAGATTCAAGAAATCAAAGATGGAAATCTCGAATGACTGATTTCTACTGTTGATTGAACTTACCGAGTTGCTGTGTGAATCATATTATGATTTATGAATCTTCAAATCTTTTTGCAAAAAAATCTAAATTTCTAACTGATTATTATAAAGTTGGGTCATGTGGTCGTATGTGTCACTGACCTACTATGTTAAGGCGAATGAGCTTTTGTCATTTTGATAATGAGTCTTCCTCTTGCATATTGAAATATCTGAGAATTGAAATTTTCAATGTATATGAGCACATCATTGTATCAACATAGCTGGAGCACACTGCACAACATTAACAACATATTGTGATATTGTCTTAATTATTGGGCACTTGTTCTTTGCAATGCACAGTAACATAAATTATGAATTTTACAATTTATTATTGTTCTTTTGACTTTTGTTTACTTTGAGGTTTGAAATTACTGCATTAGGTTTAGGGGTCATTTGATTGATTTTCTATTAAGTTCTATATGGATAAAGTTGTCTGTATGAATTAATATGTTTGTATAAGTTGGAAAAGTTTTTGTTTGATAGAGTTTTTTCGAAAATGTAAGGAGTGTTTTTTAGTTGGAAGGGACATGTTTGGAAAAAAAAACTTGACTTTCTATATAAAGTTCCCCCTAGAAGCTTACTAGATAAGTTGTTTTCTATATCATTAAGCCACTACGAAACATTCATGCATAATTGAGCGAATAAGCTGTTAGTTCCATTAAGTTTATTAAGCTGCTAACAGATAGGCCATTAGCCTTTAGTCTTTAGACCTGTAATTTTTGACTTTTACTTTTCGCTTACTATGATAGTAATTTGGATGTAATTTATTATTTTAGTTAAAAACTAATTATAGTTTTCCTTGCCTTTTAAGTCTTATATATTGAAATAAAATTTCTATTTTGCTAATTTCAATTTGGAAAAGGGAAAACTGGAAAAGAAAGAAGCACGATCTTAATCCAGAATTTATCATTTTCCCATTCTATATTCTATATTCGGGGTTTTCATTTTTATGTACCCCCCATTGTATTTTTTTTTATTATAATTAATAAAAATCAACATGAGGATAAGACACTCAGCTTGAATAGGTTTTAAGTTCTTTAAAAAATAGCATGTTACATTGGCTTAAAAAAAATAGGGTTATGGGCATTTTTTTTTTATTTTCGCACAGGACATCAAAAATCTTAGGACCGGCCCTGTTCATTCTGCTACATTCCGATGTTGCTTTCTATTGAACAGACCACCCACTACCGTTCTTTGGTTGTTGGTGTATTGGCTCTTTGGTTTGGTTAGCAGACGAGATTTGACCTATATAGACTGGGAAACACAGGGAAAGATAGACAAGCAGGCTGAGAATCACTATAAAATTTTACATGCGGTTGAATTGCATTAATATACAACTACTTATTGTCAAAAATAATATATTTGCATATATACGAAAAATATATTGAACAAATTAAGAGTATTTCCTTTGCTTTTTTAGTAATTCTTAGAATTACAATTATTACTTATATACACTACATTATATATCAATATTTAAAAAAATTCATAATACAATCTATATAGAGTAAATTCAAATTCATATATATATATATATATATATATATATGATCAAATGGGTACGAATTTGTTCTCAACTTCACCAACATACCAAAAGGTTTTTGGTTTAGCGGTATCATAGTCTTTGGCCTCCTAGGAGGTTAGAGGTTCAAACCTCACCAAAAATAAGAAGAGTGTGTGGGTTTATTTGTTGCATTTACTATATATAAATATTATATACTTAAAAAAACTCCACCAAACATAAATATCTAGTGTTCACTAAACTCCAATTACCAAATAATATTGAATTTGTTATTACATTCATGTAATAATAATTATAACTCCAATTACCAAATAATATTGAATTTATTATCACATTCATCTAATAATAATTAATAAAAAAAATGCGAATATATAATGAAGGAACATAAAGATTTGAAGAATCGAACATAATATCGTCTGTTGTATACAGGGAAATATAAGTAAAAAATATTTGAAAACACAATTAAATTAACCAGAAAATGAAACCAATATTTCAATAATATTATGCACAAATTCTATTCATGTTCAATGTCCTCTATATAAAACCATAGAAGATATATATATATATATATATATGTATATGTATATATATATGGGGGTATACAAGAGATTGAAAAAACAAATAAATTAAAAAAAGAAGAAAATAATAAGAAGCATATGAAGTGATGTAATGATGGTGGTGATGATTTTCATGCAGAAAAGAAGGGTTTTTTTGGGGGGTCTTCTATCTTGGTGTCAGTAGAGCTCAACCTTTTCTTGATTTCTTTTATCTTCTTTTTGGATGCTTCTTTTTCTCTTTTTCCAACATGGGGTTTTGTTGTACAGTTAGTTTCTTTTGAGCCCTGATTTGTATATGTATCTAAGGCCTGCAATTGCAAACAAAGACCTACTAGTTCTAGAGAGAGAAAGTGAGATATAGAGAGAGAGTAGGAAAATGGAAAAAAAAGTAAAAAAGAAAAAGAGAGAAAAGAAGAAATTGGAGGTGGGTCTTCTGTGTTGGTCATGAAAAAGAAGTTGTAAACCAGGGTTTTGTGGTGATGATGATGATGACAGTGATGGTGTCTGTGTGTGTTTTGTTCTTGTTTATATCAATGATGATCTTGAGTGTCAGGATGATCAGGCCAGAAGGTGGAGTACTTCAACCAATCTGCCTCCTGCTGATGATGCTGGTTTGTGATGGATGATTCCTGCATTTTAAAAATTCACCATAAATCAAGTCATTTATTAGGGTTTCATGATCAAGATTTGAATTTATGAATCCAAATTTTGAGTTCAAAGTATGTAGTGTTTAAAGGGTGGTGATGATCATATGATATGGAGGTTAATCACATTGGGTTCTGTGTCTCTCTTTCTCCTAGGATGCCATTCAGTGCAAAAGTTCTTGGGTCATCTTATATCGTTTTGCAACTTTTTTCTTTCAATATATATATATATATATATATACACACACACACATATATATATATATATATATATATATATAAGTGTTGCTATAGACTACTTCTTTCTATGGGACATGTGTGTGTATAAGCTTGAGTTTCTTCCAACTTTTGTCTGTTTTCTTGTTCAAAAAGAGGGAAAAGAAGGTGTTGGATAGAAACATCCATGATTTAATGCTTATCTTTTGCCTCATTTTCATGCTTCCCCCTCTATTCCCCCCAACACCACACTAAAATATATATATATATATATATATATATATATAGATATAGATATATATAGACTTGGGATCATGTGAGACCAAAAGTTTTTCGTGAGACCCGTAAGACCAATTCTCAACCCTTAGATTAGATCTACAATCGTCAAATCTGGACATTAATAAACGCCACGAGAATTCTCAATAATCACAAAATTGTCACCGTGCAACTTTAGACCATTAGATCATTAGGTTATAAGTTTGATCAATGAACATAAATTGGTCTTACGGGTCTCACGAAAAACCTTTGGTCTCACGTGAACCCAACCATATATATATATATATATATATATGTGTGTGTGTGTGTGTGTGTGTGTAATATGATAAAATAAGTTGAGAATTCACAAGATATTATAATTAAAAGAACTAAAGTTTGTTGGGTATTTTGGCATATAAGCTATTGATACGTTTTTTTCCAAAGCGAGTCAAATCCCAGGACTCAACTCTAAACAGACGATAGAATATCATGTGTTTGTTCACCAAAAAATGGACCAAATCAAAGTTGACATTTGAAATTTTTGAATGGTTTTTTCTTTCTTATTTTACCATCGAATTGAAAGAAAATATTTTCATAATTTGGTTATAAAATAAATAAATAAAAAGGAAAAAGAACACGTAAACACATTACCAAAAGGAAAAAAAGCAAAGGTTATAAAGGGTAAAGGAATAACAAGAAGAATAAGACCTACTATATATATCTATATACATTTATTATATACATATATATATATATATCTTTATATATATAATAAATAATATAAAACAAATAATAATATTAAAAATAAACCCGTAATTAATTAGAAATAATATAGGCAATGAGAAGCACGAAAAGAGAAAAAGGTAAAAGGAAAAAACTAAAGGGTTTTTTTTTCTCTTTAATTTAAAATTTAAAATATTTAAGTAAACATAAAATTCAGAGTCAAAAAGGTGTTGAAAAACTAACTTCTTTGATATCGGTTGATGATGATGGAGTGCACCCCATTATCAGCTCTTCCAATCCTGACGTTGATCTCCCTCCTCCCATCTTATGATGATGATGCTGTTGCTGCTGATGCTGATGCTGTTATTTAATATCATACAACATCATTATTACTATTTTCCTTCATATATATATATATATATATATACATATATATTGTTTTGCTATGAAGTTTTAAGTGTAAAAATCGTGTCTCACGAAAACAACATTGTCTCACATGAATCCAACCCTCTATATATATATATATATATATAAAACAAAAAAGACATAATAATCTAATATGATAATGTATTGTCTTCAAGAAAACATGAAGCAGAAAAGTGAAAATATATATAATTACTTGTTATCATCTTTCCTTACAACAAAGCAACCTTACCCAGTCCCTGTCTTTTTTTTTTCTCTTTTCTAATTTTGTTTTCAGTATATATATATATATATATATATATATATATATATTTTGGGTTCACGTAAAACCAAGAGTTTTTCGTGAGACCTATAAAATCAATTTATGTTCATTAATCAACTTTATAAGCTAACTAACGATCTAATGATATAAAGTTATACGGTGACAATTTTGTGATCATTGAGAAGTCTCGTGGCAATTTTGTGATTATGAATGTTCAAATTGTAGATTTAATCCAAGGGTTGAGAATTGGTCTTACGGGTCTTAATATATATATATATATATATATATATATATATATATATATAAGTGAATAACTCGATCTGTTATGATTGAAAAAAAGAAGTAAAAAAAATACCTGAAAATTGTCCATGATTCTAGAGACATGGAACGAGTCTTCATCAAGCATAATGGATGATGTGTGATGAAGGGGATGTGGAGGAGGAGGTGGTGAGATGAGGTTGGATACAGGATGAGTTGGCCTGCTGACGTTGTAACCACCAGCTGCCATCTGGTGCTGATGTGGATTTTGTTCATGAGCCATGTGATGATGTTGTAGCTCATGCTCCTCGCACGTGATGCCTATCTCCCTTCCCGTTGACGCCTCTCCTCCGGTTGTTCCCACCTGCAAATATTGCATCAATCAAACACTTATACCTTAATTTGTTTCAATCTTCACTCCTTCGCTTATTTATACTATATATATATATATATATAGAGAGAGAGAGAGAGAGAGAGACAAAAGATTGCGTGAGAATACAAATTAGCATGAGAAGCGTAAGAAGATATCTGGACTGTTGATCACTTTTAATCTCACCCTCCATCCTACGAATTACGTTTCTCAAGTGAATTGATCTAGTGCATCTCATAACTGTCTTCAATTATGATTAATCCAAGAGTACAGATCTCTTCTTATCTTTTTCACCATAACTTTCATTCTCACCAGAACCCAACCCTACGTATATATGCTCTTTATATATAACAGGAGGTTCAAATAGGAAAATAAAAAGATAAGAAGTGAATATATGTTCATAAAAAGTTCATATATATATATATGAATCATAATTAATTAATAATCTGTAACATCTGTTCATATTATACAGTTTCAAATAGATTTTTTCAGGGTTTTTCCATGATTCACATATATACTTTTTTTAATCTTCCATTCTCACGACATTTAGCATTTTTATTGAAAAATACCCTGTTATATGCTCTCTCTCTTTCTCTCTCTTTATATATATATAGAGAGAGAGAGAGAGAAGTAGCTATGTACAAAAGTTGATGCACAAAGTACTATAGGGATGGAAGTTACAATCAAGAATGAGTTTGCTGATGGTACAAGCAAAGTATACAAGAAAAGCAACCTTCAAACCATTTTGAGTTCATCCCTTAACCTTGCACTCAACTAATTCTATCCCTCATTTCATGCCCATATCTAATTAAATAATAAATAATAACAAAAAGGGACATAAATTCAAGAGACCAATTTAGGTATTTATATCAATGGATGGATTTAGAAAATAAATTAAGCAAGATTTTGAATGTAATCGTTATTATAACGCTGGATTTAGTTTTGACAGATATAAATTGTTCCCTGTTATTAATTTCACAGCCTTTTGATTAAAATAAACGAATGGTTCAGATGGGTTAACTTTCAAACTGTTTTGTTACCCTTTTTTCAGTATTCTCTTTTGAACGTGCCTCAAATAATAAATATAATAATTGTATCATGTTATTTTGTTGATATATAAAATATGATAGCAGAAGGATGAAATCAAGTTGATTTATTCGGTTACAACATATTTGACTGATAATGATGCATCATACCAGTAGTTAACAGAAAAATGTGTTAAAAGATGACAAATACGTCATATAATTGTATCATGTCATCTTGTTAATATAATATAAAGCAATCTGATATTCCCAAAAGGAGATGGAAGGAATTTTGAGAAAATTTCATTATTTTACAAAGAAAATCTATCAGTAAAATGAAATGATGAAATTGTTGCAAATTAAAGGGAAAAAACATACCTCATCGAAGCTTTTCCGAAACGGAACAAAGCTAAAATGATCGACGCCTTTCAGATGATGCATTTGATCCATGGGATTATAACTCGACATAACTGCACCAACACTAACCGCAGAGAGTTCATCCATGTTATTATGAGTAGGAGGGGCGGTGGCAGTTATGTTGATTTCTTTAGAAGAAGAACAACTCCCACTTCCGCTTCTGCTCTCTCTTCTGTTCGTTTCATTATTCGCCCCCTCGATGGGGATCACATTCGACAAAACGTTGTTGTTGCTCGCCCTTTCAGACCAATTACACTGCCTTGGTTGAGTCTGATAAAATATTTTCGACACCACAAGCTCACCCTCGCGCTCCTCCTCATGTTGTCCGAGGTGGTACTGATGCATCACCCAATTGGTCTTTTCGGGTTTTCGGTTCTTCCCAAAGTTTGTGTAGAGTACCAAGATTTTCTTGCACCCCTTTTGCTTTCCGTTAACCATAACGGGTCGCGTTTTGCCTGTTTTGTGCCATCGAGTCTCGCCTCCTTGTAGGTCGCATTCGGTTTGGATCTTTCTTCTTTTTCTTGTCCCGGTGGTGTAAGCTTTCGATGGCCGATGGAAGAAGTGTCTACTCAATCCGTCTCTCGTAACTCCTGAAATCATCACCAATGAAATTTATAAAATCACTGATTTTATGCGCGTTTTACTAATTAATTAATCACTGTATTTATTAAATTACAGAAAAAGAAAAAATCGACGTATGATGGAGACACTGATTCTTTTCGTTCTGCTAAAAAAACAAGTACGATGATTAGAAAATCAAAAACCGAAAACCGAAAATCGAAAATCAAAGGTAGGTTATGTAGGTGTAACAAAACAAAGAAACCCTAAATTTGAAAAACACATGAAGTATTTTCTTTCTTAAAGCCAAGAAAGAGGGTGCATTCATAGTAAAACCTAACTCTTGAATTGTGGGACACAACAATTCATGTTTTCTTGTTTCTTTAAACAAAGTAAACAAAAAACACAGTACAATAAATCAATCAGATTTGTTAAGAAAAACGACACCGTCATGGGATCGTTTTCGACGCGATATGTCACCACCGATGGGTCCGTTTGAGGACGGTTAATTGCCGGGCGATTGAGAAAACGCTACGGAATTAAAGTGTGATCACCTGGAAGCTTTTCTGGATGTGTGTAACAAATCCCATCTTCACCTTCAATTGTAGGAATGAATTCATCAATCAACGGATGGGATTTGAAGTTCTTGGCTTCAACTTTAGCTTCAAGATGTTCAATCAGTTCTTGGTCCGTTGGATCAAATTTCACTCCTGCTGGTAGACCCACCCAATCCTGCAAATGAACTCCAGAAATTCATTAATTATGATTAATTAATTAATTAATAATTAAAAATAAATAAAAGATCTTCAATCTTTATATAGCTTGCAGGTTGAAGTTGCTGAAAATGGAGATGAACCAATAAGACATGGGGATTTTGGTGTTAAATAGAAGGGAATTGAAGTAAAACACCAGAAGAAGCATAAATTTATACAGATTCTTCTGAATTGATTCTTGATTATTTGTCAAAATCTTTAAGTTGAAGCTAAGAATATTTGGAAAGAATTAAAGAAATCAATACTTATTATATCCATTCAGACACTTGGATTAACGATTAAGCATACCGGTTTTCCTTCGAGTCTATGGCCACAACCGGGACAGTGTTTGGATCCACACAGTTGATGTTCTTCAAGCTTTGCATCAATGAGATCAGAGCTGCTGATATTATTCATTCTTCTTCGATCAACCGAATAATTCATTACTTATATACTCTTCATGATCTTCAGATCATATACATATACACATATCAACCATGAAATCGAAACAGTTGAATTCTTGATTTCCAGTTTAAGTTGATGATGAAGATCTGATCATGGACCCAAAAAGAATCGATCATATATTAAATGTTTTTCTTCATTGGCTTTATGAAGATGAAGAAGATGGAGGTAGAGATATGGGAGTGGCTGAATGAGATGTCTTAATTATCCCAGGGAGAGAGAGAGAGAGAGAGAGAGATGAAAACCTGTGCTTTAACCATGAAAAACACCAGAATTCCTTCAAACTTTAACTGAAGGCCAGAGAGATAAAGGAAAAGGTGTGTTCACTGTACAGACATGTATATATATACAAACACACCACCACCTTTAACTCTTTCCTAATTTAAACATAAACCATAGCAACCTACCTTCCCACTTCCATATCACTCCCACTGTATTTCTGTGTGTATATCTATACATACACACACACACACATATATATATATATATAGAGAGAGAGAGAGGATACGTATATATATATATATATATGTATATGTATATGTTTGTTGGATTTGATTTTGGGTTGATAAGAAAAGCTCTAAGCACACAGAAAAGGGGTTTGGTTTTGAGAGTATTGACCGCTAAAGCAAAAGCTACGGGACGGCCATACCATTTTTTTATTTTATTTTATACAATTTAAATGAATTTTATTTTTTATACCAAGATTAATTAATTAAACAAAAGGGTGGTGTTTGATTGGTTTGAGCTTGGTTTCAAAGGTCAAAAGTAACTGAAGGTTCTAGGTTTAAATCCAACGAGGAATAAAAATCTTCTTGTGGCCACAGATGTTTAAATGCGGTGACTTCGAGCTAACTGCAGAACAGGTGGTTGTCCTGAGATTAGTCGGCTTGTATAGCGGGTTGGATATCCAGGTTAATTAAAAAAATTACTTTGTATATTGTAAATAATTAAAATATTTTACTTTGTCTTTTCGTGTAAAATTAGATACCATGGTTCCAAGAAAAACCTAATTAAAATTCTTGAATATTAATTAATGAAAACTGAAATACATACCAAATAAATTCTTGACTATTTTAATCTAATATTTATGGCTCCAACTATTTTATTAAGGATAAATTACATGAAAAAATAACGTACTTTAATTTGATTTTTATTTTGTGTAACGTACGTTTAAAACTTACACTTTGATACGTAAGATATAAAGTTTTAAACATTTAAGTACCCGGATAACCATTGAAGTATTAAAGCGATGAGATGAAAAATTGGGTAGAATAGCAAATAATATTGAGTTGCATACCACATCAATCACCATATCAGCATGAAAAACCGGTTAATGCTTCAACCAGTTACCTGAGTACTTAAATATTTAAAGCTTTATATTCTGAAAATACGTTACTCGAAATAAAAATCAAGTTAAAGTACGTTATTTTTAATGCAATTTGTCCTTTTATTAATTATGGTTAATTCTTTTGTTTTTTTTAAATAATTTTGTTGTTATAATAAATAATATTTGATTAAGTAAATTGATGTAAAAGTAAAAATATATTGTAATTCTTTTTCTAATGAAATATAAAATGAGGATTAATTTATAGATATAAATTTGTAATTATATGAATATTTAATTAAAGAAAAAAGAAAAAAAAGAGGTCACATGCGTTTTTGTTGTGGAGTAGTACTGATGATGATGATACTTTTGCCATGAAGAACAAGGTTGCTTGATTTCCAAGTAAAATCACCAGTATACTTGATGGACCACCCTCTCCTTTTTTTTATTAATTTTATTATTTTAATATATATATATATATATATATATTAATTGTGTATCCGTGCAATGCGGTGAGAGCCGTGAATTTTAACAATTTTGAAGTTTCACTGGTTTTATTAGAGAAGATTTAACGATGATATAAGTTACACTTGGTCTTTACATATTAATACAATTTGAATATATAAGAGTTATGGTTCCAATTACAGTCTATCGATGAAAAAAATTATATGACAGTTTAAAATCCAATATATTTAAAATTTAACATATTTAAACGACTCCACAAATGCGTTTGATTTACACCAAGAGCAAAAAATCAAGAGATCGAGAGTGAGACCGAAAGTTCCAGAGCAAATAAATGAGAGAACTTTTATTAATTGATAGTGAATATCAATTTGAATCTCACATTGAGGGAATGGGGAGAAGACATAGAGGTATGATAAGGTGAAATCATGAGTGAAATATGTTAAAAGTATCTTGGGAACATAAAAAGAAAAGATAATAATGTGCATTGGTAACATGTATTATATGTTATTTTAATTGGTAGATTAGAAGATTTTAAGACTAAATGCATAAAGTAGTAGTTCTTAATGTATTATGAGTTGTTTTTAAGACTTTTAAGACTATAGTGACTTAGGATGAATATATACTAGATTACGTTGATTTAATAAATAAAGATAATTTTTTTTATTAACTTGGATATCCAATCCGCATATGCGAGCCGACTAATCTCAGGACGACCACCTGCTTTGCAGATAGCCTGAAGTAATCGTATTTGAACCTCCGTAGCCACAAAGGGATTTTTATTGCTCTTTGGATTTGAACCTAGGACCTCCAAACTCAAACCAATCAGACACCACTCTATTATCTTCTTAATTATCTCATTAATTAATAGAATTAATTATTTTAAATTAATGGCTTAGGATGAATCTCACGGATCTTACATATTTTGAAGTTCTCAAATGATTAAACCCCAATATATATATATATATATATATATATATATATATATAGTGTGTGTGTATGTATGTATGTATGTATGTATGTATGTATGTATGTATGTATGTATGTATGTATGTATGTATGTATGTATGTATGTATGTATGTGAACGATTGTATAAGAATGAGAGTTAAGGTGTGAAAAGTAAGAAGAGATATGTACTGTTGATCACCCTTAGTCTCAAACTCATCCATGAATACGACTTGATCACATGATTGGTTCGGTGCATCTCATCCTAATGTGCATCCAAGTGTAGAGATATTTTATTACGCTTCTTAGCTTAACTATCCTCACCATAACCCAACCATACACACACACACACACACATATAAGGGACTTGATCATTTGAGAACATTATATATTGTTATAACTATAAGAACCATTATCATAATGTATTGTTTTACATGATTTTTTTCCATCTAAGTCTAGAAATTAATATGTTGGTTAACATACATCTTTTTCACAATGTGATTGTTTCATATATATGTGTTTCACGATGAAAAATTATTTATAATTTTTTGTTTCACAAACACATAAAAAATATTCACATTGTGAAACAAATATATGTTAATTATTACATTAAACTCAAGTTGTAAATTAAAAAAAAGATTATGTGAAATAGTACATGATTTACTGGTTTTCAAGTTTATTGTTATTACTAATATTTTAATCAAACAAATTATATTAAAAAATTACTAATTTTTTTTATGAAAGCACAAATAATTTGTTTGATGGGTAAAAAAAAATAATTAAAAATGAAAATATAGGCATGTGATTTCAAGTTTGAAGTTAATTCAATTTGTACCCCTAATCACTCATTAATCAACCATTTTATGTTTTAACTATTGATTAATTTCTTAATTTTCATAAATAGTCAGGATTTGCTCTTCGTTTACAATGAAAAATTGGTTTTTAATATATATATATATATATATATATATAGAGAGAGAGAGAGAGGGGGGGGTAAGTTATTATTCAATCATTTACATTTGTACAACCAACACAACTCAATCTCAATCGTTCATTTAATTTGATGAATATATTATTTAATAGAAGTTTTGATTGTTTCCTAATATAAGATATTGATCACAATTAATGAACTCTATTCATTTTTCATTAATATTCAAATTATAATAAATGAACTCTCATCCTTTCCATAAATATCTCAATTAATTGGGTTGTATTGATTGTACAAATAAACATGGTTGCATTTGAAATATACCCTATATGTATGTATGTATGTATGTATGTATGTATGTATGTATGTATGTATGTATGTATGTATGTATATATATATGTATATATATGTATATTATATAATTTTATAGGTAGGGTCGGACATTATATTGTTTGTCTTTTTGTTTACTTATAAAAATAATATGTCGTATAATTAAAGAATACTTGTAGAATAAGCACCAATTAATATCTAAAAGCAACGACCATATATATGTAGGGATCAACTACTCATACTTCTTCTTTTATATATATATATATATATATATATATATATATATATATATATATTGACTTATTAAAGTCAACTTTCTTGTTTATTATACATGTATTTAAAAACATATAAATCTATCGAATTCAAATTATATCATATACCAAATAAAAAATTCATATTTTTATCACACAATTTGCTTTTCTATCTTCATATAACCAAAAAAATAATATAACATTAAGCAATAGGGTTGGGTTCACGTGAGACCAAGAGTTTTTCGTGAGACTCGTAAGACCAATTTATGTTCATTGATCAATTTTATAAGATAATGATCTAATGATCTAAAATTGCACGGTGACAATTTTGTGATTATTGAGAAGTCTCGTGGCAATTTTGTGATTATGAATGTTCAGATTGTAGATTTAATCCAAATGTTGAGAATTGGTTTTACGAGTCTCACGAAAAACTCGTGGTCTCACATGATCCCAAGTCTTAAGCAATAAGCATATATGTATAAATTTATTAGTTACTTGCACAATACAACAAGATACATTTTGATTTTAATGTTTCATTTTTTTTGTCTCAGTCGGTGTTATAATACAGTTTTATGTGATTTTGAGAAAGCGATAATGTGTTCATTTTTGAATAAAATATAATATGAAGATATCATAAAAAATTGAAAAAAGATATTGAGATTAATACCAAACTAACTATTTATAATTTCTAATTTTCTGTATATTTCTTTAATTTATTTTTTCCATTTTTGGTTTAATAATATAATTTTTTATAAAGATAATAATTAAGTATTTTATTAGAACTCAATAATTATCCTGATTATATTTTAGATTTTTTATATTTAAAATGAGAGGTTTATCATCTATTTGATTATATTTATCTCCAGTTAATTACATGAATTCAAATATGAATCTTTAATAAGTTGTAAGCACAATTACTTGTAATCTTGAATTTTAAGTAATATGTATAAATAAATAGTACTCCATGCATAAATAATAATTTTTAAGAGCTTTTATCAAATTCGTTATAATATAGTACAGATA